TCACCTCACTTTTAACTTCTATGGGAGAGGTTCCACCCGCAAAAATGACCCAAATATTTCTCTAGAACCAAGGAAAATCTACTAAAATCTAGAAGAAAGAGAAGATGAATAGGGATGTTTTTTTCCATTTTTTTTTCATTTAATTCTTCAATATTGGTAGATCTTTGTTGATTTGTTGTTTTTCTTGATAAATGTTGATTTATTGTTAGGTATGTCATGTTTTAAGATTTTATTGTTAGATCTATGGATGTTCCCAAAAAAAAAATAGAAAGATTCCAAAATTAGAAAATAATTGATCGTTATTTTTTAAATGATTTTCATGGCATGGAAGAACTATAAGATGGATCTACCAATGTTATATCAAACTCATTGATCTAAAAACAATTTGTGTTTTTTATAATGAATTTTTAATAGGTTGGAAGCTCAAATATTGTATAATGTATTATTATTTTTTTAGTAAAGTTTGTGTATTAGCATCTACATGTTTTAGATTCCTGATATTGTTATTGTTGATTGTAATGTATCTCTTCATATAAATCAGTAATGTGTATATTTCTTGCGTTTATATTTTCATGACTTATTCATACTTATTTCAACTTTAGATTTAGTATTAGTGATGTATTTGTAGGATTTGTAGGAGTTTCCCCAATGTATCCAAGCTTATCTATATCTTTCCACCATATCTATGCATATCCAAAGCATATCATTATACATATTTGTATACGTTACCTATAAGATACATGATATTGATATTTTGAACCTTTGGTATTATCTCTCATTCTTCTCATCGAGCCATATAAATCATTTTTGGTTCTTATTCTACTAATTTCTAATAAAAAATTAATTATTTAAATTTATAGCCCATGATTTCAATTTTCAACTATATAAAAATCTATAGATAGATTTTTAAAGTATATTTATTAATAATGGAAATGGGATACAAAATTTAAAACCACTCAGGAGATGGTCCATGCCAGGTTAGAATGGCCCACATTTTAATGTTGCCCACACTATAGAGGGTTGTGCCATCCCAACATGGCTAGTGAGAAGGGGTCTATTCCATGACCCATGAGATCTTACAGGACTAAAGCTCCCTTACCAAAGGTTAAGGAAGCCCTGAAAACCCATCCTTGTCCCTGATCAAAGGGGTCCAGGAAATTAAAGTTTGCAAGGTTGGAGATATTAGAAACCTCACCTCCTGATTGAGATCCCCAAGGATCGGCCCCACATATTTCCAGAAAAGGAAAATAACCTATTGATTAGGAAGAGAAATAGTTGCTCATTCATTAAATATTTAGCTTGCTATTGTTTTGTCCACCATTTATGATTTTCATTAAGAAATCTCCAAGCAAGTCGCTTTAATAAGACCTTATTGACTACTTTCACTGATCTAAGCCCAAGTCCTCCTTGAATTTTAGGGATCTCCTGCACTCTCCTTGGTGTGAGATATGATGGGGTGCTCTTCCATTCACTGTTTTACATGTCACTTATCTACAACAGTCACTTCTCATATGGGTGAAGTCATTAAACGGCTGATTGCCCCTCCCATTATACTTTTATTTATTTAATATAAAAATTAAAAAGAAATTTAAAAATAGATTTGGATGATCATTTCAACAAAGAGGATAAAAAAAAAACAAGAAAAAGCATTGAAGAAAAAACCCTAATTATTTCTTCTTGGAATAAGGAGAAAACCATTGAGAATAGAGTCCCTTTCCTCTTTGACGGGAAAGTAGACTAGTGACTTGAAAGACCACCAACAATCATCCCCTGAAAAAAAATCAAAGAAATTTTTTGAATGCTTTAGAACATGGTTTTTAAAACTGACCCAGAGACCGAACCAGTCAGGGGTCCAGTTACCGGGTCGAACAGTTAGCCCGTTCTGACAAAAAAATTAAAAAAATAAAAAGTGGTCAAAACCGTTCGAATGATTAACCGAAACCGATCACCTAACTGGTTCCCAATTTTTCCGATCCGACCATCCAGTCCGATCCGGTTTTGAAAACCAAGGTTTAGAACATTTACAATATTCTCGATACAAGATGTAGCATAAGACGAGAAGCTCAAGCAAGCTAAGTGCTTCAAAAGGTGATTTAATGATCTCTCTACAACCTTGTAACCTTCTTGACAAAATAGGCATTATAGGTGATTCTTTTCCTGATTGGTGATATTACAATCAGTGATAAAACCAAAATCTCTTCATTTTTCTTTCCTCTTCTTAGAAGTACCAATCATCACGAAAAATCTTGGTCCAGCCATAGATATGAGATATCTATTGTTTCTTACTGACTCCACTGTATCAAACTATCAATGAAAACGGTGATTGTGAAAACATAAGAGCATGAGATATCCATTGGCTAAATGAAGTCCGTTGACAAAAGAGCTAGGTTTTTCTCTTCAATGGTTTTACTTTTCCCATTTTCTCTTCATCTGACTCATATTGGGTATTCAAACCTGTTTCTTTCTCTCTTTCTTTCTTTCTTTTTTTATTTTTTACATTTGAAAAATGAGAAAGAGGGCATAACGGAAGTAATGACCTACCGTTTGATGATTTCACACAGGTGAGACGTGGATATTATGTGTGACTGACATGTTAAAAGTTGAATGGAAGAGCATCCCGTCTCACACCAACAACGGGTGCAAGAGATCTGGGCGCATTCTAGGAACATCATTTGAACCTTCTGTAACCTACTTTACTGGCTCATAGGGGTGAGCAAAAAAACAAAAAAACTGAATTAACCGAAAAAACCAAACTAAAAAATGGTTAATCGAACCGGTTGGTTCAGTTTTGGTTCAGTGTTTTTAAAAAACCAAAGGTACTAGTTTGGTTTTGGTTAACCAATTTATAAAACCAGTGGCTAACTGAATCTACCGGTATACATGTTTTTCTATATATTTTCTATATATTTATGTTTATTATATATATATATATATATTATATTTTATATATCATAAATTAATAAATACGCATTATATATATAAATATATTTATAATATATTATATATTATTTATTATTTAAAATATGATATTTTATATATAGTTATAATTTTTTATTATATATTTACATATAAATATTATAAAGTCAAAAAACCAACGAACCAAACCGTCGATTAACCGAATCGATCAACCAATTAACCGACTGGTTTCGATTTGATTCCAATTACCAATTTTCCAAAAACCGATACTACTGGTTAAATTCACAAAAAAGGAACACCCCTACTGGCCCACCAAAAATCCCTTTGAGTCCTTTCTATCCCGATAGCGTCTTCTGGGGAAACTGGACCACTCCCATGCAGTGGATAGGGGCAGCCTGCAAGATAGATTGAACTAAGGTTTGCCTACCTTCCATAAACATCGTCGAGAAATTTTGACTTGGTGTCCAAAATGAATTAAAGAGATTGGTGCTTCTGTTTACTCTAGAGTAAAGGAATGCCAAGATATTCGGACTTAGGTGTCAAAATTCCCCATTTTTCAGTTTACGCTTAATCATATGCTAATCCCTAGGGTGGATGTTCTTACTAAATGTCTGACTTTTCATAATTGATCAAATGTCCAGACAATTGTTGAATTGATCTAGGATTTCCTCAAGATTATCTAATTCATCCCTATGGGATCTTAAAAATAATATACCATCGTTTGTAAAAAACAAATGGGAAACTAAAGGAGCCCCTCTAGCAATAGAAATTCCTTAAATTCTAGCCCTACGCAGGGGTGTAGATAAACCTTCCATAGCCAAAATAAATAATAAGGAGAAAGGAAGTCCCCTTGCTAAGGAAAAGTGCCATTCCACTATACCATTTACCAAGATTGAAAAAGAAACAATGGATATGCATTGATAAATCATCTGACATAAAGGTATAAAGTGGGTCATGCCGAGCCGGTACAACACGGCCCGCAGGCCATGCTGTGCTAGCCTACAGGCTGTCACGGGATGTGCCGCCTTCCCTAGTGAAAAGTTTGGGGGTCAGCCCACGACCCAAGCCCATGCGAGCCCATGTTGTATCGCGACCTGGGCTGGCCCGTAGGCCAAGCCTTGGCCCAAGCCAGGCCAAAGCTATTTTTGCCTATTTATTTAAAAATATTAAAAAAAAATTAAAATTTTAATTTTATATGAATTTTGATATATATAATTGTTTATATATACAATAATTAAATAAATTAGTATAATAAAATTGAAAACAATTGTTTATTTTATTAATATATTATATACTATATATTATTATGTAATAATTATAATTTATATAATATATTATATATTATATATATAAATATATATAAAATATATTTAAATAGTATATATGGGCCGTGTTGCGGGCCATGTGCGACATAGCCCACTTGGTCATGTCATGCCTACCCAACCCGCGGACCTAAAATCCAAGGCCCAACATAGCACGGACCATTTGCCATCGTGTTGGGCCTTCATTGTAGCATTCAAGTACGACCAATCCAATCTCTCATAGGCTTTAGCCATATCCAACTTTAAAGTCAGGGTTCTTGGCCCTAACTTTATTATTATTATTTTGTTTCAAGAAGTGGCAGATCTCATGAGTCACAATCACATTATCCAGCAGCTACTGCCCAGAAATAAAGGCCACTTAACCAGGAGAGATGCATGTTTCCAAAAAAAACTTTTTAGTCTAGTAGCTAGAATTTTGGAGATGACTTTATAAATCACATTGCAGAGATTAATAGGTCGATAGTCCTGAACTTTGGCATGGTCAAGTTTCCTAGGAATCAGGAATATAATAGAATAAGATGAAACCGAGTATAACATTTCAATTATTACCAATTGGCACCTTGTGATGGGGTTGTACATATCAACTATACCGCAGATCTCTTTTTTGTGCCTGCACAGACGCACAGTGATAACTTCACAGTTCTATGCAGAATATTGGTGAACACGCTTTAGTTTTTCTGTGCATCAAGAAGCAAAGTGGGATATCCACTATATGTATATATAAGAAATAAAGAATGTTTAACTAAACAATTTAAGTACTCATGATAATTTAAAGTTAATAAACTAAATTGCCAAATCCAACACTAAATTCAATATAAGAGGTTACAACCAAGTTTCTAGTTCTCTTCTCAAACAGTTGATAACTTCACAGTTCTATGCAGAATATACAAACCACTGTACAAAATAATGAGATCATGGGGCAGCAGGATCTTCATGAAATTACAGTATTCAATTTCTAAACGTAACTGATAACAACCTCATGGTTAAGTTGTGAATGCCTGGCCACAATTGTAGACTTTCATTTTAACTGATTTGCTAGTTGTGGGAACTGTTGCAACAACCAAGTTACACCCCTAATGGCAACCTGTATGTTCATGAGGGAAGTGAGTCAAGCCAGAAGAACAGATAGAAAACAAGAAGATAAAAAATACTTTAGGTGAAATTGAAGCATTTAATTTATTATGGATTTACAGTGGTCTTGAGCAAGATTAAAAATTTCGATACAATATGCCCCAATATAGGAAATGTTATCGGGTATTGAAACATCTGATACGCAAGTTTGTAGTTATCATGTGTATCGATACTTTAAACCTTGCCTTGGGCTATTCACCTTCACCCTTGTAATATGTAAATGAGGGCCATCAATTTGTCTGTCAGTAAGACAATGAAGCCATCAATTTATCAGCTGCTAAATTAGGGGTGGGGATTCTTAACAATTTGTCACGTTAGAAAGACGATGCAAATGGCAGAATAAGGCTTTACACACCAGAAATGAGATATAAGTTCAATGCAAAACCTTGTATACAGTTCATATTTATATTTTTAATCTTGTATTTGCACTGAACATATTTGTATTTGCACTCTTTCCAAACTGAGCCTTAGGAAAGGAGTACAAATACAAATATCTAGAGTGCAAAACCTTTTGTATTTTGTATTATTTTGTATGTATTTGCGCTGTACATATTTGTATTTGTACTCCTTCCAAACTGAGCCTCAAGGTAAAATAACATGCCACTAGAACTCAACCATCACAAAGTGAGTCTACACAAAGCAGGGTGCAAAAGCAGTGTCTTCTCTTTGCCGTCAATCACATAAACAAAGATATCGAGCAAAGATTTCATGAAATTAAGGATTGATATACATACAAGGGCAGTCTCCCCAGGCTTGATAGAAGGTTCCACACTGTCTCGCCCATATCTGCTTAAATAGATTAAGATTAGTCTTGCTATTACGATCCAAAATGAAAAAAAGATTAATTTCACTATTTATGCATATTCTTGATAACAAGCTAATGCTACCTAAGCTTACTGAAATGACCACACTCACAAACTTGAACAAGTATTCTCATTCTTGTCAGCCTGAAATTGTAACATCATACCTATGTTTACCTTGATACAGCGAGGACATGGCTGGATACAGTATCAGATACGAAATCAAAATAAAAAATTGAAGTATCCAACATGATATGGCACCCCTGTACAGGTATCCAAGTATCATAGCATCAGACCAAGCAATGGCTCCTCGGGTGTCAAATGGGAACCACACAACTTGCCAAATTTATTAGAGAAAACACTCAAATGGAGTATTTTTTTACACCAAAAATGGTTTATTTATTGAATATTAAACCTTTGTCCTTAGGACATGCCTCATTTCAAATCTTTGCCAAGTATTGTATGATTTTATGAAGGAAAAAGGCAGTAAATGCTTCTCCACAACAAAAGTATTATAATCTCTTCCATATTACTAAAATGCAGCTGTGTATGATTTTTTTTTTGAAAGTACAAGGTAAAGTATTTCATTAATATCAAAGGGCCAAAATACAAAGAAGTCTCTGTGCAATGAGAAGCTGTACAGAGAAAACCATCTGACCAATATACCCACCCCTCAAAAAAAAAAAAACCTAAAAATTCCTTATAAAAAGTAAGTCTGAATCAAAAAGGGAAGAAATATGTCTATTTTTAAATAAAGGATGTATTGCCAACCAAGAGTGAACCATCATCCCCATACTCCTGTTAAGAACTTCCTTTGTAGACTGCTTCCCTTCGAATATTCCCTATTTCTTCCACACCATACTGCCCAGAAAACAGCTGCAGGTAGGACGCTCCAAGCTACCTTACCTTACCAGATCTGGATAAACCTCAGAGTGCCCATGCCCCTATAAAACCCTACACATCAGCCAAGAAGCACATCATTACTCCAAAGTAAACTCAGCATATTCCTCCACACCCAGTACGAAAAATCACAGTGAATCAACAAATGACCCGAGGATTCCACATTTCCATTGCACATAGAACAAGCTATATCCTCCACCTCTATTCCTCTTCTGACCAGATTTTCCTTAGTTAATATCTTATCCAGCACTTTCGACAAGATAAAGAAATTCAGTTTAGAAGGAACAGATCTAATTCAAATTCTGCTACTTGGGAAATAAGAAGGCTCCTCCCTTGACAGGCTATGGAAGAAATATTTCACAGAGAAAATGCCTGATTTCTCAAATATCCAGTTCCTCTTGTCCTCCCCTATTCCAGTTATCTTTGAGTCATACAATATCCAGAACAACCTGACCAAAGAATCCACTTCTCAATCATTTAAATTTCTCCTGAATTGTGAATTCCAGACCCACTGTCCATTCTGCCTCTCCAAACAGTCAGCCACTGATGCATCCTTATTTACAGAGATCTCTAACAGATCAGGGAATAGAGTCATTAAGGGGCCATCCCCACTGTCCATTCTGCCTCTCCAAATGCAGCTGTGTATGTCAGAGACCCCTCTCCATTCTTCCAATTACTTTTTCTATTTTTACAATTTTTTGCATCTTTTACCATAATCTCTATTATCTTACATCCAATTACATAAAAGGTCTTCCTCTCCTAAAATCTCCTAAACTATCTCACATTTTCAACTACGTCTAACTTCCACCTAAAATATAAAATATCTCCCTCTCCTAAAACTTCTCTTTAACTATCTCATATTTCCATTGATGCTATCTAATGTTTTCGTCTAAAACCCTCTCTCTCTCTCTCTACCTTCCAAATACATGCATTTAATTTTCCATCAAGCATATTAAAATATTAATATTTTAATAAGTTTTTAAATAATAATTATGATAAGATTTTTCGATATCATAATCAAACCATAAGATAAGACAAGTAACAATAGTAAATTTATAATAATTAATAAATAACGGTTAATTATAAAATTTTATTATAATTGTAATTAATTATATAATCTTATTATAACCATCAATTCTTTGCTAATAAAATTATAATTTTAAATCCATTTAATTTCCACTTAAAAATAATCAAAATTAATAAAATTATTTTACTAACGAAAAACAATAAATATTTGTTGATTTAAATTATTATTGAAAGTAATAATATTGTTAAGTGAAACTAAGGCAAAAGGAGTATTAGCCCTTGTTTGGGGGAAAATGGGGCTTTTCCTTTCTAAGTAGGTTTTTTAAATAAGCAATTTTTGAATAAGTGCTTATTAGATAAGCACTTTTTATGTGTTTGGTTTAGCGTTCCTAAATGGGCTTTTTCTTTAAAAAATGACTTCTCCAAAACATAAGAAGCCAGAAGCCGTTTTTCTTTTTTCCACCAAATGCTGTTTATGGATTTTTGAAGTGCTTTTGGCTTCTAAAACACAATAAACCACAGAAGCACTAATTTAAATAGATGCTGACATGGACAATTTTTAAATTCCATTTAAAAATAATGAAAATCAATACAAACTTTGGCCACTCTCACTAGGGTGAGACTTGGGTTGGGGTTAGACCACTAGACATGGCCCAAAAGAATAATGCTTAAGTTGAACTTGGACTGACTCATCTCAATTGAGAAAGTCATAGAGCTACTTCTACTTCAATTTGTCTTGACAAATCCCGTGCATTACACATATCTTGACTAGTAACTATGTATAGGAAAGATTGTGACAAATCCCGTGCGTTATGCAAATCTTGACCGGTAACTATGTAGAATTATTTGCCATATGGCTGCCCGTGCAAGTTCCCTAAATAGTTATATGAACAGTTGTACGACCCTAGAAACCTTCCTAGGTGTGAAAAGTCACCACCTTGTCAGTCCCAAGGGACAAAGTCAATTGGATTTGATGTTTTGCAAATATCGAATCATTTAAAAACATACATACTAACAATCCTTCCATTCTTAATATTTCCATGAATGCACTCAAGGGAAGAATTTCCCTTTCTAAGCATAATATAAATGCATGTCCTTCATCAGATGATAATTCATCAATCACCCATGGGTAGTTCTATATTCATTTGACTAATGGCAATTCCTTTCTTTTTTTTTGATAAGTGACAACTCCAAAATATTTTTTCAAACTATTGGAGGGGTATATCCCTTCATAATGAGTGCAAGCCTTCATTCGTTCTTCAAATGACTTGACTCAATATGGCCAGGTATATTCCTCAATTGCATATAAATGTTTGTATATGTTAAGGTTATCCAGTCTAAGGATTTTCTATAACAACTAGAAACCCTACCAATCACAAATTATATAGACACCCACCAATTATACTTTGAGTCAACTACTCTAGCAAGGCACACCACCCCCTATCACATGGCCATACCATGTCTGTCTTGCTTATGCCAGCTATCCAAGCTAACCTTTGGGAACAACTTTTGCATTACATACATGGATAATGTCATGTCCCATGCTAGGGTTCTAAACCATTAGCCTAATATTACCCTAAAATATAATCAATGGATATTTCATAGAATACATACCCACTAACTAATGATAGCAACCAAAAACAAAGAATACCAATGATAGTACAAAATCAATTCTTTCTTTTCTTAAGAGAATCATACAATTGGGACTCAAGGAGAAACAATGCCCAACATTTAAGTATAGTTTGGTTTATAAGGGGGATGAGGTGAGTCTAAAGGCTTCAAATGGAAGTGGAGGGTCCAATAGTCACCCATATTCAACATGCAAACAATACATTGATATTTTCAAATGTGTCAAGGGAGCAGTTTCTACATCTTAGAACCATTTTAAAATGCTCTAAGATGTTATCAGGTCTAATTGTCTGAAAGTGAATATAACCATGATTAGAGTTGGAGAAATTCACATCCATTGCTGGAAAACTGTATTGCAGTAATGATACTCATACTCCTTCATGTGTTTGACACAAAAGAGGCTGCAAATGGAATTTTTATGGAACATTAAAGTAGACAAGAGAATATAGTCGTATTAAAGGTGATTGGGTATGCAGGGTGAAGAAAGACAGTGTGTTGGAAATTAGAAGAATAAGATTGCTAGATAGAGCTTTGCTTGGGAAGTGAATGAGGTGATTCAGTTTAGAGAAGGAAGTTCTTGCCTCTAGGAACGTGTTTGTTTGGGGTGTAAAATCGAACCGGGGTAAACTTTACACCCCGGTTCGATTTTGCAATCATTTGTATAGAGTGTATATTTACACCGTAAATTGGTGTAAAGCTCCATTCTGAAATACCTTGACACCAATAATTGATGTAAAAACTACATCAAAATTATCGATGTAAAACTTACCCATTTCTACCATCAAAGTAAAACTCCTCTCACTCTTACGTCTCTCTACTCCATTTCTTCGTCTGCTCCGTGTCAACCTTCGTCTTGCTCATGGTTTCTCTCTCACCGACACTTCAATCCCTCTCTCTCTCACACACACATACACTCCCTCTCAGATCTCTCTCACTTGTGTGGTGAAAGGGTCAGCCTTCCCGGCGGCGACCTTGGCCACATCGACAGCGGAGGCTTCGGGCTTCTTTTTAGCATACAAGGTGAAGTGATGACAGCCACTAAAACAAATCCCCCAGCAGCCATGGTCATCAGAGAGAAGGGTAAAGCTCATCATGGGTGAGCCACGCCTCCTGCTTGCTGCCCGAACAGCCTCTTAGACGCCTCCGCCCTGACAGCCTTAACGTCCTCCTGTCTCATCTTTTTCGCTTCTACCATTTTTCTCCAATAAGTAGAGTGAACTGCAAAGAGAAAAGTGGAGGAAAGAGCCAGAGGAAGGAAGAAATAGATACGTGGCAGTTGATTAATCATGTTTGAACAATGATGCGTCTGCAAATTGCAACTAAGCTAAGATATGTGCCAATTGATTGATCACGATGACGACGAGTGTTTTATTTGTTTTTTTCAGTGAGCAATGATGCAACACTTGGTTGGAAATTTATAGGCTACAGGCTAAGCTATTCGGACTATTTTTGGACAAGAACTCGTAAACCAGTAGCTAAAGATGCTCAAGGCCCACATAGGTAGGGCCCATGAGATATTGTAGTCCAAATTCAAATATCTTGGGAACAGTTGGAAATAAGATACTGCAAGAGAAGTATTCTAAACAGCAAGAGAAGAATGGTTGGAAATTTACACCGGTGTATTCTGAACAGAAACAGAATTTTATCAAATTTTACACCTTGACAATCAAACATGATTGGTGAAAATATTCAAAAACAATCAGTTCCAATTTCCATCCATCACTGAATTGATTCATATTTTCCATCAGTGTAAAATTGAATTTACACCTAAAAGAAACGCAAATTAAGGGAAAAAGTTATAACTTATAAATATGAGGTGGAAATTTTTAATTGGTATACTAGAGAGGTTACATCTACCTATGGTAGTATAGGGGTTAGGGGAAGGCGCCAATGACCCAATGGTTGGGATAGTAGTATTGGGTCCTTGTCTGGAGGGAATTGTTGGCTGCTTTTATTCTAGCAACTGATTCTTTTGGATTTCTCTTTTGTCCTATCCATAAAGTTTGCATTGATTGATCTGATGAAAATATCTCAACATAGTAAAAAATCTCCACTCTATGCTATGCCTTTTCTTTTGAAGGTGGCCCTCCTAAGGTTACCTTTGAAAAGTTCTAAAGCAGCACAAAGTCTTGTCTTCAACGTCTAGGTTATCCAGATGATAGGTGCTTTCCACACTGAGATGTAGGAGAATGGAGATGCAACACTACTGGAATTTCAAGAGTGTAGGAAGGAGGACAAAGAGCTTGCTTTGCCTACTTTGACAAAGGAACTTCAAATGTCAATACAATCAATGAAGGGAGCTGTAGAGATCACCCATCTTGCTATCAGGACCAAAATTAAATTATTAAGGAGACTGAACAGTGTGGAGCAGGGGGGAATCTCTTGGGTTCAAACCTCACTTTTATGTTGGCAAAATTAGTTCCATTATGGAAGTCGATAAGGAGATTGGTTAATCTAGGAATTCATCAAATGAATTGTAAATCCTAGATATCAATAATCCATATGATCCACGCTGTTTTAATCAAAATTCAAATATATTTGTTAGTTTTTGGAATTTCATTCCACTTTTTTGCTTTGAGATAATGAGTTAAATTTTATTTTAAAAGGATAAGAGAGGTTAGTTAATCCAAAGTAGGGATTTCAACCAGTCCAGTCGGGTTTGGTACCGGGTTCGGTACGGGTTTGCCTCAATCCTAACTCGATCCTCGAGCATCCCAACCTGACCCAGCTTAAAAATACATAATTCCTGAACCCAACTCAACCATATAGGGTGTAATCTGATTCTGACCCGACTTGACCCTTATAATTTCAAATGTATTTTTTAACATGTTTTAAAGATTTAAAATACATTAATTTAAGTTAGAAAATTGTTTTGTAGATTCTAAGGTGTTACTTTTTCCATTTCAAAAAGAAGAAAAGCAAAAATCAGCATGTAAATAAATTGTAAACTTTAAGTCTATAAAGTTAGAATTCAAAAAATTACAAGAATACTTGGCATATATGCAGGGTATCATGACCCGGCGGGAGCGGGCCAACCAAAACTCGGACCCAACTCAGGTCAAAGAATCAAAACCCTAACCCGACCCTAAACCAAATATACCTGACCCTAACCCGAATCCGGGTTTACCATTTAAAACCACCCATTGACATCCCTAATCCAGAGTCATTCATAGAATGCAGTAGCTTCTTGTGGAACTTACATTATTTGTCGCTTCCCATCTAATATCTCCAAACGATAGAAGCTGCATCCTTTGCTAAATGGAAAAGGTCTTCCCTGCCATTCTGTTAACATTCAAAATAAGAGAACACAATGAGAGTTAACATAGATCTATGGGTTCTAAAAATAAAGGAAGCTATAATATTCTTCAACATACCCAAGTGCCATGTAACACCGACTGCTGAGGAATCCATATTAGATATGTCATCAATAACAAACTGCAGGTCTTTGCTGATGGAGTCAATAAACTTGTTGAAGAATCCTAGGATTGCCTGAGAAAAAAGTTGAAAGTTGATGGTAAATCTGAAAAGAAACAGAGGCAAAAGTAACAAACATAATTTTAAAAAAAAAAAAAAAAAACTATTTAAGAGGAAATGGTTCAGAAGCTACATGCGAAGAAAAAAGGTTTTTGACATTTTATTTTTTTGATCAGTGAATTGTTATTTTTGTTTTTTACAAGAAACTTATGATATTCTCAACATATCTTGGTGAATCACATAATATACCATGTTAGGCCCCTATGCTATTGCCTAATGATTTATACTACAGTACTATACTTGAATAAGGCAACTAAAAATATAGCATATATCCTAAAACAAGTAAATTTTTTACCAAAAAGAAAACAAAACTATATATAAAACTTGCCAATATGCATATTGTAAGGAGAGTAAGGTCGTAGAGAGGTCTACGTAAAAGACGGTAGATGGCTCTAGTGAGGGAGAAAGGGTGATTGTGGGCTTAAGAGAATTAAGGTTTCAAAGTGGTAGGGTTTCCGCAGGGATTCTTGAAGATGAAAGGTGAGGAGAGTCTCAGATGTCTCCTATTTATAGGCATAGATGCACAAGGGAGGAAAACTTTCCAAAGAAACAGGCAAGATGTTTGGAGTGTCGCCATGTATCCATATCAATACAGCCCGATATGCCAGTAGGGGCGTATCGGACTGTATCAACTCTTGCATCTTTGTTTTTTAGGCTTTTTTTTTTTTTAACCTGGTTTTGAGGGGTTAGTTTAAGGCTCATTTACCCTCTAAACCAGGTTAGACCCCAAAACACTCCTCATAAAGGCGTATCAGGAAGCCCACGATACGATATGTACCATCCGATACGGCTTGATAGGTATTGAAACTTTGAACCTTAGTCTCTTCTTTCCAAAAGCGCCCAAGTGTTCAGTACTGCTATGCAATGTGTAATAGGACTTTGGAGTGGTATCACGGGATAAGTATGATGAAGCTGTGATGTTGCGATGCGATGTTAAGGCAAGATGCCATTGTAGTGTAGGAGATCATTGCGATACGGGGTCAAATCGTAGGACAAAATCACAGTGACAAGATTCTTAGGCGAGGACTAACAACCTTGTGAGAACAAGCTTTGCACATATGATAAAATATGAAATTATAAAGGTTTTCAAAAACATGGGATTCAAACTAAAAAATAATATGTAATAAATAGAAAACACGTAAGTTGGCTACATAATAAATAAATTCTACTCCAACATGCATAATATATATTTACATAAAAATTAAAAAAATCATATATGTATATATATATATATATATATATATATATATATTAATGTACACAAACATATATTTTACTTAAATAATCATATATATATAGTAAAAAATATAACATTTTTTATAATAAGATATAATCTAGGGAAAATTCTTGATTAGTACCTTGTATTTTAGGCCTAGTGTCACGTTAGTCCCCAAACTTTAAAATGCAACAGTTTAATACCTAAACTTTCAAAACGTGTCAATCCAATACTTGCCGTTAACCAAATTATTATCCAGCCATTAAGTGGCATTTGAAAAGACACAAATGCTCTTTGAATGCCTTCTATTTCTCTTTATCAATCATGTAACGCTGATAAAAATTGAACAGTCCGAAATCCTTGCCTCTTCTATTCAAGAAAGTTGGGATCACTTCTCAATGGACATTCTGATGATTCCAAATTTCTTAAATAGAAGAAGAAAAGATTTGGGACTGTTCATTTTTATCAATATTTAAATAATTGATAAAGAAAATTATGTAACACAGGCATTTGTATCTTTTCAAATGCCACATTTAAGGGTTGTGGCACTTGGCCAAAAAGTACAAGTATAGGTATTAATTGAAAATTTTTCCTATAATATATACATTCACGCTTACACCTCGCCTCTCAAAATCTTGGATATATATTCTTGGCAAAAATTCCAAACTTAATCCAATTTTTAGAATTGTAGATATTTTATATTGCCCAAAAGTTGAAAATATTATTAAAATAATGTAATTATACTATAAATTGTCAAAATATTAATGAAATAATTAAGTTTCATAAAAAAAAAAATTCTCCAAATTTTGATAGTTGGAAATTTTTCATCACGGACTACTGATTTCGGATATTTAAAACCTGGGCGACGTGTAGAGCTCAGCTAATTTGCAGTGCGGGATTGCATTCATGATCAATCCAGAATGGACGGTCCAGATCTTCCACACGATTCATCCACGTGAACGAAAGTGATTACACGAGTGCTACTGCCTCGTGGGACAACCGACGAATTTGGGTTCAGTTCAGCACGTGGGACCATCGACGAAATTATAGACTGTTGTTATGGTACACCTACAGTACACGTACCCAGAAGATGAATTGCACATACCTGGCGTCCGACGAACGGTCGTGGGAAGACGAGATCCTCGTAAACGCAGTTCTCGGCGATGAGATATTCGACAGAGACGAGATCCCGACGGTTGATCCCGTCGTAAAATTTCCTAACGACATCGGCACCAGAATCTACCGAAACAGACGGGGATGATGACGGTGATTCATCTTCCGTCGTCGTTGCTAGTTGGTTGCTCGATGAAACCCTAACCGTGGCGCTTGGGTTTCCTCTGTGTATTCTTGAGTTTTCTCTGATTAGGGTTCTCGATGGAGTACGAACTCTAATGAAGCAAAGTTTTCTTCTTCCGGTGAAGGGAAGAAGAAGAAGAGGAGAAATCGGCGATGTTGCCCGGAAAGCAACGGCAGCAGTTGAAGCTGCTGCTACTGCTTCTACCCTCATGGTGATGATTTAGACTTCAGCAGACATCGGAATGACTTGTAGCGAGTTCGAAAGAGAGAATTCTGTTGCTTCCGAATCCATCTTATAGATGCTGACGAGTTTAAATTTTTCTTTCTAGGCGACGAGTTTTAACATTTGTGGACCGTGGAGGGAAGCGAAGAAAGCCGATGATTTCTTATCTATTATACCTTTCAGGAAATTTTGTAAGCTTTACACAAATTTTTGATAAATCTATGATGCGAAAAAGGCATGATACAGGATGAGCTCCAACCAATCAAAACCCCAATAAATCTTGATGAATACCACCTCAGTTTTTAGGATTTTTATCACTTTTACGATGGCAGATTCATAGCCCTTGGGATTCCCGATGCACGGCTGAAAAGGGTTGTATTTTGTATTTGTTTGTATTGTGTATAACTATATACCAGTGCGGACCCGTGCGATGTACAAGAAAATAAAGAATCAAAACGATATATTAAATATCGGCCACATGATAAATTTTTTAAAATATACTAAATTATTGATTTTTAATTATTAAATAATTTATTTTCTTTTTAAATAGATTATTTACAAAATTATACTACTTTATCTTTTATTTTTGAATATAAATTAATCAATAATTTCTTTTTTTTAATTTCCAATATTATACTAATTTATATTAATAATGAAAATAATTTGTGTTACAGTTTTCCTTTTCCAGTACTAATTTATCTTTAATAATTTACAATGAAAATCAAACAATTTTTAAATTATTTTCCAAAATCTATCAAATGTAATAAAATTTCCAAAATATTCCAATAATTTTCAATAATTATTTACTACATTTTAAATAAATTTTCCAAAATTACATTAATATGTTTTTTATTTTCTTCTCCAATATTTTCCAAAATGATAACATTTCATTTCCCAATTTGCAAACTCCACCAATTATTTCTTGGAGTTATAATTGTTCACTTTATTTTTCAATTTTATAATTTTTTAATTAATTCTAAATGCCATTTATAAAAAATATGGGTTGAAATTTTTAAATATTCATTGATTTTCTAGTAACTTTTCTAGAAAATAACACAATTTAATTATTAGTGTAATAAAATTAGTTTTAAGAAACTATAACTATAGTAAAATATTTATTATAATGATTACTCTACTACACTAAAATTCCAATAATAATTATTAGTGTAATAATATTATTTTGGAAAATAATTAATTAAACTACACTATTAATTTATTATTGGAATTACAATTATTTCAAATTTGTTGTAATTACATTATTTTGAAAATACCAAAATTTAGTATAATAATTATTATTATACTAATAGTAATTATTGTAATAATAAATATTTAAGTAATTATTACATTACTGAGATTAAGTTTGTTACAAAGAGGAGTGAACTCATCAGCCGGAGAAGAGGCAAAGCGGACACTTCAAGGACATCTGTCGAGCTAGGGATGTAGCCAACGAGGGGTTACATCGTTCGCCCGAGTACCTCAAGAGCGGAGTTCGTCATGTCGCTCTCAAGAAGGGCTTCAAACTGTGCCATTGCTTCCTCAGATCACTCCACTCACACAAACTTCAATACAGTATCCCTCAAGTCGGTCCTCGAGGGGGTGGCCGACGAGGTCAATGCAAACCCAAAATTGAGGTGGAGCATAGCAGAGAAAGCAACAAGAATGGTGTTGATGAGAGTGTTGGCGACAAGGATGATGGTGAGGAGTAGTGTTTTCCGATTGTTGAGCCCCCTTTTTTTGTTTTTCTTTTTTTGATGTGTCCCAGGCTTGCATGCTTAGAGGACTGAGTTACCTTTCCCCTTGCCGAGGTGTTGCATGTTTATGTGTGTCGAGGTGGGCTAAGCATGGACCGGTCATCTCCGTTGCTAATGTGTTTTGAATAGGTCAGCTTGAGGGCGCTTTAATGCTAAAAGTGGTCTGGCTTCCGATCCGTAGATTTTTGCCAAAGTGCGTGTGTCGCGGGTTGGCTTGACCAGTTCGCCAAAGTGGGTGGTCATCCGTGGATTTTTCGTCGAGGTACATGTATCGCGGGTCAATTAGAGCAGTTCGTAGAAGTGGGTAGTCATCAGGTGGGTGTTCAACTGGCCGAGGTGTTGTCCCACATAGGTCAAAGTTATAATGAGCCTTAGATGTAGTATCTATGCAAGTTGCTGATGTTCCATGCACAAGGGACCTGCCTCCCCTCGAGGGTTTCAAGCTCGTAGGTCCCAGGTCCTATCACTTTGGTGACCCTATAAGTAGGATTGTAAATGGTATCCGAAAATTCAAATTCAAATTCGAGATTCAACTCAAATAAATCAAATTTGAACGATTCAGATGGAATAAACGGTCAAATTAGAATATAATTTTTGTACTGATTATTTAATTGAATCGAATTCGAATACATACTATTCGATTTTAAATATTTGAATTCGATGATAGATATTATAATATATAAGTATATTATATTCTAATTTGAATAACTTGCAGTACACCATTTACATAGACCCAAAGCATCACATGTATCTACTTATTACAAAAGACAAACAAAAGTTGTTCCTGATTTACAACCACTCTAATTGATGAGCCTTTCAACTTTTTTGTTTACCTAGATACCAAAAGCCTTCTTTTCTATATCTCTTCTCCCCTCTTTCTCCTCCCTCTCCGTCTCTCTTGTATTTTAGTTTCTTTAATTTATGCAACACCATCCATTCTCACACTCAAGATGAAAAGTGCAACTCCTTCTCTCGTATTTTGGTTTTTGCAACACCTTTTGTTTTGGCACTCAAGATGAAAAGATTAGAGAGAAAGTAAGGAGAACCAGCTTCTTTCGAAGATGAAAGGACTTTTAAAGATTAAACTTCAACTTTTGTCAATTAGGGCCATTATCCAAGATTTCTTTCTCTCTCTCTCTTTCTCTCTCTCTCTCTCTCTCTCTCTCGTTTTTTCTTTCTTCTGTATTATGAGTTTTTTTTGTCTATTTTCTTTCTTGTTTTAGATTTTTTGAGGTTTTTTTTGCATTGTTAACAAGTGATGATTTTATTTTTTGAGCTTTTTTGTGTTGTTCACATGCGATGGTTGTTTCTCCTCTTTATTTTGCTTTTTAGATTTATAGTTTTCTTTACAAAATCAGTTATAATCAAATATTTGACATTTTAATCGAAATCGAATTCGATTGGGATTTCTGAATATTTGACAGATTTTGAATCGAATTTGAATCACTTATTTTGTAATCGGAATCGGATTCAAACATGGCTTGATTCGATTCAAATTCGCTCCATTTACAAGCCTACCTGTAGGGGCCATCCTAATTAGGTCCCAATTTCCTTGAGCCCGGATCAAGTACCATAACCTTCCTTTAGCACCATGTCGCCAGTTCAGAACTGGTGTCTCTTAACTCGAGCATTATAATATCGAGTTACCCTTTGTTGGTATACGGCAATCCAAATGTATGCTAAGTCTCGGACCTCTTCCACTAAGTCAAGGTTCATCCACAACTCGTCATTGTTAATCTCATCATTGTATGCTTTGGATCGCAAGGTTGGCACCTCAATCTCGATAAGAATGATGACCTCTATACCATATGTTAGGTTTAATGGTGTTCCGCCATCATTGTATGCTTTGGATCGCAAGGTTGGCACCTCAATCTTGATAGGAATGACAACCTCTATACCATATGTTAGGTTTAATGGTGTTCCGCCGATCGCCGTCTTGATCATTATGCAGTATTCCCACAAGACATTGAGCAGCTCATCCACCCACAAACCATTAGCTCAGGAGAGTTGAGCTTTGAGATATTGTAGGATTGCTCTATTGATCACCTTGGCTTGCCCATTTGCTTATGAGTGAGCTATCGAGGTGAAATTTTGTTGGATCCCCATCTCGACGAATCAGTTCTAAAACTTGATGTCTTCAAACTGCTTTTCATTGTCTAAAATCAACAAGCGAGGAAGGCTGAAGCGACAGACGATATTCTTTCAGAAGAAACCCTATACATTCTAAGCTATGATAGATGTTGTTGATCCCCCACTACGCGAATGACCACGGGCTAGTCAGGTACCTCAGGTTGGCGGTGTGATGCCAAGGTATGTTGGCATGTTACTGGCATTTGTCACACTTCTGTATTAGTTGTATGGCACCCACCTTCATCGTTGGCTAGTAGTACCCTTGTCGCAACACCCTGCCCCCCAAGTGTTTGCTGTAGAGACCTTCATTGATCTCTTGTAGCACTTGGTTTGCCTCGATAGGCCACAAGCAATGTAGGTATGGGAGCATGAATGACCTTCTATACAGTTGCTCACCAATGAGTACATAGCGAGTTGTCACTCAACCCTTAGTACCACATTGTGGTCTACTGGTAGGATCTCGTGGTGTAGATAATCAAGATGGGTGTGACCTCCTCTACTACCAAGATGGGTGTGACCTCCTCTACATTCTCTATGCTTGGACACAACAGGTCTTCAATGTAGACGGTCCTTTGAGTGCTATACATCGCATTGGCCAGCTTAGAAAGCACATCAGCTTCAACATTTTTGGACCATGGGATTTGCTGGATATACCAGGAACGAAAGTTCGGATAGAGCTCTACCTTGGCCAAGTAGTCAAACATGGTGGGCTCCTGAGCCTCGTATTACTCGTTCACTTGGTTCACAACCAACTATGAGTCACTACAAATGACGACATGCTTTGCACCAAACTCCTTAGCCAGAGATGGCTCACAATTAGTGCTTCGTACTCCACTTCATTGCTCTACAGTCGAAACACAAATCAGAGAGCATATTCCAACTTGATCTTGCTTTGTCTGAGAAGGATTAGTCCAACCTCACTTCCTCTCTAATGGGATGAACCATCCACATAGAGGATGCATGGCTCTTCATCCTAGGTTGGGATAGGTGCCACACTAGTCGAGGCCTCTGAGGTGGTCGCAGGTTCTCCAATTTCAAGGGTTGGCAAGTTGAACGTGCACTCGGTGACAAAGTTGGCCAGGACTTGGGCATTTACCACTGGACAAGGCTCAAACTGAATATCATTTTTGCTTTGATTCCCACTTCATCAACATCCCTGAATATCGGTGAGGAAAACAATCGTATAGGCTTGGAAATACAAGCGTAATTTGTGAGCTACTATTACTAGCAGGAAGACCAACTTTTCTATGTTCGGGTATCTAGTCTTGGTGGTGTGCAACACTTTGCTTGT